GCCGGAGGTGCCCTCTCCTTATGCAAGATCAGCCTGGTGATTCAGGGCTGACTGGATTCACACTCRAAAGCTGACAGTTCGTCTGTGTTGCGCATGAGGTGGCAGGACTCTCGGGCACAAGATGTGTCCCCTGGTGATCTGTCCCGATGGTCCTCCTCCTTTTAAATGTCATTCATGTCATTTTAATTCAGAAGAACGATGCGGAGATCCAAACAAAAATGGACAGACTGCAGTGGACRGTGACTCAGACGGAGAAACTGGGTTTACTAATGAGCCTGCATGTGAGCGAAGAGGTGAAGGAACGAGTGCCTCTGAGTGTGTCTGAGAGCGTTTTACCTGCATTCTCTCTGCTCTACCGTGTTTAATACGTGACACTTGATCCATGACTGATGCTGCTTTTGTTGGAGAGAAAAGACATTTAAATTATGTGTTATTAACAGACAAGACATAATGTACCAAATGCTCTAGCAAACACCTGAAATGAAATCATGTACCAACAACTCTTAACTCACAGTCCAGCTTCCTGCAAGTTATTTCATGCATTATTTGTAGATAAAAACCTGTTTTCTCTTTGCCTCCTGATTGTATTTAATGAGTGTTTGGATCTCTCAAGTACACATTAAAAACYAAACAGGTTATTTTCCTTCAAAATATTGCGCAGGGTTATTTTTATTTTTAAACCAAAAAACAAATAAATAAATAAAATATCTGGGCAAATCATTCACACAAAATGGGACAATCATTTTTACCAGCAGGTGTTGTTTGCAGCCCAGTTGCTTGAATGAAATTTCAGCCTTTTATTTTTCTTCAAACCACAAATATGAGTCATAAATCCATCAGAAATGCTTCAGTCTCCTTCTCGAGACATCACAGACTCATGGTTTGTGTGCATGAGCTGGGTAAGTAGCCGTATTTGAGAATAAACCAGTTTTTTTTTCTAGCTAAGAACATTTGGCGCCTAAACGCCTCACTCGTCTGTGTTAACCCTAAAAATTATGAGATTGAAACAAAAAGGGAAAATATGTCTTCATAAGACTGAGAAGCAACTTAAATCAAGGTATCAGAAAGAACATTAAAAACAAACAAACAAAACAAAAATAATTACTAATGAAGTTCTTGGATGTAGCACCACCTCTCCAAATTTATAAGTCTTATTACAGTTTGGCACAGCACCGACTAAAACACAACTTTTTTATAAACAATGAATGGYCTGAGTCAGAATAATTTCCATTATGAAATAAATATCATCACCGTAAAATGATGAATAAAATCATTGTGTGCTGTTAAGTATTAAATTTATTTGTCTTTTAAACACAAGTCTAAAATAGCTTRAATGTCACATAAATGAAAGGTAAGCGTGTTTGAACTTTTACTGATGTCTAAAACAGATGTAAAGGTTGAAGTGTGGTTCGATTTGAGTTTGCTTGTCAACTGAGCGGAAAAAGTAAAGAAATTTGTTTTTGTTAGATTATTTCTTTGTTGTAACAATGCTCCTGGTCAATAAATCTTGTACTGTTGGAAAGCCTTCCTTTTAAATGGTGCGACATTTGTAAGGAACATGCATTTGTGAGATGAGCAGTAGTACGTGGGTTGTGCACATGAAAACAATTGCCAAATCTTCTCAGCCACACAGCTTATTCTGCTGTTTATGACACTTGTTTTGAGCTTCTGGTGCCCCCAGGTGCTGCCAATCAGGTGCCCGCTAAAACAGGGTTCCTACAGCTTAAGGAACGTTAAATTTAAGACTTTTTAAGACCTCTTTAATGCCACTTAAAATGAAATTTAATACCAACTTCACAATAAACACAAATGGGG